GTACGAGCATTCCTTTATCACCCTTCAAAGGCCTTACTCCCATCCTAACATTGGTCATTCGGTACGAGCATTCCTTTATCACCCTTCAAAGGCCTTACTCCCACCCTAGAGCATTCCTTTTATCACCCTTCAAAGGCCTTACTCCCATCCTAACATTGGTCATTCAATACGAGCATTCCTTTATCGCCCTTCAAAGTCCTTACTCCCACTCTAGAGCATTCCTTTATCACCCTTCAAAGGCCTTACTTCCATCCTAACATAATATTTACCCTTAAAGTATTTATAGAAATCCTTGTTCTTAATTTCACATTTCCAGCCAACCATTTTTCATATACCTTTTTTAAAAGGTATATAAAAGTCTGTAAAAAATTCAAATTTAACGTTTTCTTCCCTTATAATCACTAACATAAACCGAAACAGATTCAATCTTATTGTTATTAGCTTTGATACCCTCAACTTGAACAAGACTATAACCCACATTTTTTTAGTACTCTATCCGTATCAAACAACCTATAACTCTCTATTTCAAAGAAATTATTGTCATCAAAATTATATCCATTTAACCAGGTTTTTCTAAAGTTGTTCATTTTATTTCTTATACTTCTAACATTAAAATAGTAACGGTTTAGCCTACCATTAAAACTACTTTTGTACTTTGTTCCTACACTATATATGTTTTCTACATATTAAAAGTTAACAATAAATTTAAAATGGCATTGTTCATAGTAGGTTTCCTCACCAGTTGGTGAAGAAAATGTTCCTGAAAAGTATCTAACAACCTGTTTATCTATTGGTTTGGCCCCAACCTTTCTGAATCTACATGTCTAAAAATAAAATAACTAATAATTATGACCTCACTAATAGCTGAAATCTCCATCTCAAGTTTCTCATTAGTTTTATCTAATGGACATAACAAATTCCCACTAAAAGCCTTCTGCCACTATATCCATTAAAAGAAACCCAAATAGACATCTTTTTGATATTTTCTTTGATATCCACAACTTCAATATAAAGATCAACATATTGTGATAATCACATAGAATGGATGATTTGGGAATTGGTCAAATATTTTTTAGAATATACATTTTTTACATCAGATTAGATTTTTAAATTAGAATTTCAGTGACTGTCTGTAGCACACCATCAATATGTTATTAGTTTAATTTCAAACTGATGAATTAAAACTTGTTAGGTGTTTTTAAGAATTGTTTTATTTCTTTTTTTAACAGTTGGATTCACGTGAACAGTTAAAGAATGTGTCAAACATGAGAGTTATCAGATTTCGCTACAGACCAGAATTTGCTCAGCAGGCTGGTTTGTCTGATGATGCTGTATCAGATACAGGAGTTATTGCTCAAGAGATAAGTTCCATTCTACCAGATGCTGTTAAGGAAGCAGGTGACATCAGTTTGCCAAATGGACAAACAATAGAAAATTTTCTTGTTGTAAACAAGGTACCACATTTTAAATTTATAAATAGTATGAAGTGCTCAATGTTTTTCTGACGTGTCATAGTTTTATTCATCATATCAATATATATATATATAGAGAGAGAGAGTTTTATGATTTTTGTATATTACCAGGTCTTGAAAACTACTAAGAGTAATAAACTTAAAATATAGCAGTAGCTATAATTTTTACGACACTTTATTATGTGTTAGCCATTAGAAAAAATTTAATAAAATCCATCTTATTGAAATGTTCCAATACAAAATTACATCATTACTAATTCAAATATTTTCCTAAGATAAATATAGAAAAGGTTCATCATTTAAAAAAAACAACATGCGTATATAACTGTAATGTAATAAAGTAAAGAAACTTTGTACTCATTTAAAGTTATTTTGTATATTTAGTTACACAGTTATTCTTTATTTCATTAAATTAGTTTTGTTAAATCATAGGAAAGAATTTTTATGGAAAATGTTGGTGCAGTGAAAGAACTTTGTAAGGTAACAGACAACTTGGAAACGAGAATTGATGAGCTAGAACGAATCAATCGCAAACTAAAAAATATTAAAAGATTTGACAGTTTAAAGTCTACATCTAGTGGAAGTACAGTGACCAGGTTTGTTGCAGTATTTTCCTTATTTTGACTTAAACATATTTGTAAACGTACAACTATTTTGTATTTATCAATTTTTCATTTAACCATATAATGACGCTTACAATTTATTTGAGAAAATCTTCATTACCCAAAAGATTAGATTTTTTCAGAGTTGAAAGCATCTTTATTCTCTTTCCATGCTTTCTTAATATTCCTTATATTTCTCTCAAAATCAAAATTCAAAGTTGTAGCAGTGTCATTAATAAAAAGTTTTGCCTTTAATCAAAAACTATATATGTAATTATGAAAGGTAAAAAATTAAAAAATAATAATTTATTTGTTAACTACAATTTTCTAATTAAAGTTTTTTACTGTAGTAATTTCATCAGCTGAGCTTCACTTATCCTTTTCACGATTATATGTTTTTGAGTGTAAGCATTTAAAAATATTCTATATATTAGGGAAGTGTTGCCTAATAGTTAATGTTCTGGGCTAGTAATTGATGGGTTGTAGGTTTGAAGCTCACTTATGGCTAGTCATTATCTCCTGTAGTAAGAAACCACAATTTGCTTCAGTTTATCTAGCTGAAAAATGACTAAGTACCAGCTAACAAATGGAGGTAAGCCTGTGGTGGATTAACGTGAAGACATTATAATCCACTTGTGTTGCAGTAAAAAAGGATTTAACTTAATATACAAGTCTAAAGGAGTTATAAGTTCATTATATTGGTCACTGGTTAGGCCATATTTGGAATATTGTGTTCAGTCTTGAGCTCCTTACTTTAGGAAAGACATTGAATTGTCGGAAAGGGTTCAGAGAAGGGTTACTAGAATGTTGCCTGGGGTGGATGGATTGTCATACAATGAGAGGTTGAAATCTCTGAAACTGTTTTCTCTTGAAAAAAGAAGAGTTTGGGGGGATCTGATTGAGGTCTTTAAGATTATAAAGGGAATTGATAGTGTTGATGTATCATCTTTTTCCATATTCAACAGTGAGAATAGTAGGACTAAGAGACACAAATTTAAATTTTGGCAGGGTAGGAGTCATCTTCAACTAAGACAGTTTTATTTTTCTAACAGGGTGGTTGGCTTTTGGAATGGTTTGCCTTCAGATGTTGTGGAGGCAGTAAATTTAAGTGAGTTTAAAAGAAAACTTGAAATGTATATGAAAGATAAGGGCTGGCTTTAAGATTTTTAAAACTTATTTATTAATAGTTTTAATTTAGAAGACTGAACAGCCGAGATGGATCAATAGGCCTCATGTTGTTCCAAAATGCTATGTCATATAAAAGTAAACTAATTAAGAATGAAACTTTTATAAGATTAATATGAAAAAGATAATCTTGTGAAACACTGTTTAAAACAAATTCTTGAAAATGTGTTAGTTAATAAATACAAACAGTATTATTTTCTTAGATTATCATTTTGTGGAGTTGCATGGATGGGACAATTTTTTTAAATGAATAAATAAAAATACTCGTGTAGTTTAAGTATATTGCTTTTTTTAACTTTTCACATTTTAGTCGAGCAAGCAGTGTCACAGCATCACAGAAATCTCACCGGCATCACAATCACGGGAAACAAAAACGTCAGAATATTTGTTCTAATCGTTTTGTTCAAGGAACTATTATTGCTTTGGTCCTAATTATGGCTTTCTGGTAAGTTAGTGGTTTGGAAACCACTAGAAAAAAACTTTTAAGAAGAACATAAACATGTATATCATGCATGTAAATATGGAGACATTTTTACTGTCTTCTAGTCTTGAAATTATTATTAGTAAGTGGTGTACATGTTACAATATTTAGTTTGATATGTATTTATTAAAAATCATAATGTACAGTAATTCTTTCTTATTCTTTATACAAAGTCATGCAACGTTGATTTTGCATGACTTAACGTTGCAGAGTTGGGTAGAACATTATCCTGTAGAAACTCTTACAGCTTCTTCTCGAAACAACTTTTAAAAGTAACTCACCAATGTTAGAGTAATCTTCTTAATACAGTAATGTTACTGCCACTTTTCTTTATCAATAAAGATACAATATTTTTTTAACTAAACTGTCTTTTAAGACTATTATATAAAATAATATTTTAATCATTCAAAACTGCCTTTGTATTATATTCTTTAGGTTATCTATGGTAAAAATAATTTTCTGTTCAATAAATATGTTTGCTTTTTGTTTTTATGCTTATCATTCAAATATTTATCAAGCCTTCCCTTAAATTCTATTAAAGTTACTGCTTCCACCCCATTTTAAGGCAGCACCTTCCATAGGCCAACCACCCTGTTAGAAAAATAAAATTCTCTTAGCTGAAGATGACTCCTATCCTGCCAAAATTTATATCCATGTCCCGTAGCCTTACTGTTCTCACCATTAAATACAAAAGAGACGATGTATCACCACTATCAGTTTTTTTAAAAGAGACAGTAAGTTTGGAGATCTTAATCTATCCTTGTATGACAACCTTCCATCCCAGGTATCATCCTATTAATCCTCTTCTGAACCCTTTTCAAAAATTCAATGTCCTTTTTATGGTCATGAGCCCAAAACTTAACATAGTACTTCAAATGTAGCCTAACCAATGTTCTGTGCAATGACATTATAGCCTGTTTAGTCTTGTATTAATATTTCTTTAGACAGAACCTGAAATCCTATTTGTCATACTGTTAGCAATAACATACTGCTTGGTTGTCTCAATAGACTGAACAACCAGAATAAAAGATCCTTCCATAACATTATTAAGGTTATTCCCATTATAATTCAAACTGTGATAACTCACATTCAGTACATTGCATTTATTGTAATTGAAAGCCACTTGCCATTTATTTGCCTAAATCAATCACCAAATGACCTAAATTCTTTTTTGTAAAGGAACAGCATCTTCCTCACATCTCGCAACACCCAAGACCTTAACATCATCAGCAACTTCAAGTAATTTATTGATCATTTCTTCATGTATGCCATTGATAAATAACAGCCAACAAAAAAATAACCCCTAATAAAGTAAGGGTTTGATGTTTTAAGTTTGGTTTTGGTTTTGGTTTGAGTTCTATCATTATGATAATCCATATGTGTAATTGGTTTTATGTACTGTTAACATAAAAGTAGTCACATTTTACATTTTGTAAGTTTACAAGGCACACAAATCTGTAGCATACAAAAGTATATACTGCTAAATAAACATGCTTTATTTAATGAGAAACTAAAGTTACTTAGTTATGGATTAAAACATTAAACGTTGGTGAAACCAATTTATTTAACATAACATTTATAATAAGAATAATATAATCTGCAGATGTTATTTGATTTTCACATTCATCTTAATCTGCTCATTTCAGATTTCTGATCAGAGATAATAAAAAATACATTTCAAGTCCAAGATGCAAATTGTAGTACTTATGCCTGAGAGTCAATTGATAAATCATTGGAGGTTTTGCTGTATGGAACTTTTACAGAATATATTTCTGTATATTTGAAATGAAAACGTTAATTAATATAAAATTAGTTGTTATATATTATTGTAACTTTTTGTGGCTTTATGATAAGAGAAAGAGTCATATTTCTTAAATCAGAGAAGTTTTTTTTATATTACATCATTTTTACTTATTTGTTTCTATTTTTTGTGAATCTATAACTCATGTCCCTCAGCAGGACAGTGGTAAGTTTGCATTCTTGCAACGCTAAAATCCGGGTTTGATTTCCTGCAGTGGACACAGCAGATACCCCAATATGGCTTTGCTATAAAACATACGCATGCACACACTATAATTCATTTTATTATAAATATTTACGTACGAAATTGATAGATCAGTTCAAGTGGTGATTTAATAACGACGATGACTATTTTCTTTATGTCAGCTAACAAGTATTAACCTGATTTTGTTCTCCAGTAAATTATTTATTTCTCATCTTTCTACCTGAACAGTCTTGTAGCAATGGCAACCCTGTATATTCTTGAATGGCAGAAAAGACATAGTTCCGAAGAGAAAGCTAGAGTGGATATTTCAAAGTAAGTAAAGGACTAACATGTAATTTAAAAACTATATGAAACATCTTTTCTATATTACCAGATTTAATTCTTAAATTTTGATCAAATATTTATGTATTAAACTTTTATGAAACATTTACTTATTAAATTTGATGAAATAATTATTAAATTTTGAAGAAACAGTTATCTATTAACCCTGTGGACACGGGTGTGTGTCAAAGTGTGCATTCCGTGACCATTTACAGAGTGTCATTCAACATGGTATTATGTTGCTGTCAGAGTTATCAACTATTAATCTTATCACACATTGCTGATTTAGCAATAGTTTGTGGTAGAGGAGGATAAATGCCATATCCAATATACATGGATACTGAAACACTAATGCAGATATGCATTTTGGAGGTTCTATGGGTTATGCAAATGCAATATACAAACTACAAAGTAGACAAAAGTATTTGTATTCTTCACATGAACATCACCTTGCATTCCGACTTGTCAGAGTCTGAGACAGATTGACATTGTAAATTCATAGACATATCTTGAGTACAAAGACTTTTCTAACATCTGATTTTTTATGTACAACAGCTTGCCACTATTTCATGTAAAGACACATTGTAAGTTTGGAATTATGGTTAAAATTCCTTCTCCGTTACAGGATCAGTCCAACTGACCAACTTACAAATTCAGTTTAAGTTTGATGAAACAGTTATTACAAATGTGCAAATGCATCAGTACATGAGTATCGTACATTTGTGCATTGTAAAGTCCCTTAGTTTCTCATTCACCGTAAGACACTCTTAATACGATTAGCTGACCATTTGCAAAGATATCAGTAAACATTTTGTGTTTTTCTATGAATGCTTTTTGTATAATGAAAAACAGGTTATGTTGTTCATACATTATTTAGATTTCAGAATTGATCAAAATTATTAATGGCACAGTTCAGTGTTATATAATAATGCAGTTGAAAGTAAGAGGATAATTAATTGGTGGGTATAATTCAGATAACCCTTCTAATACATTTCCAAAATGTCTTCTTCAAGTAGTTATGTGCCATTTATTTCAAGGGTATATCAGATATGTATATACCTGATATCTAATAAATTTAGCTTATCAAATAGACCTGAGTTACAGTAATGGTCTTGCCATTCATACCATATGTTTAGGAGAAGATTGGAGGAATTAATTTCACTGTATGGAAATATAAATGTAAAGATAGTTACAGGTTTAATTAAGTACAACTATTTAATCAGCATAAACCTAGTAGAAAACCCGAACCAACCCAAAGGTTTTCAGGTCATTCTATAGGGAGTAAGCTAGCCTAGAACATAGTGCTTTTTGTTTGAGCCTACAGAAGTAATTGAAGAAGTTATGAACCTTTTTCAGAAAAAAACTGTGATTCATAATTTCCCAATACTTAACTTTGTAACAGTCAGTGACCACCAAAAAATGCATGAAACTCTAAGATAATATTTTAATACATTTCCTATCATGCTTCAGATAAACCAATTTCTCAACCTTATGTTTATCCATTTGACTAAACAGTTATTGTGCTGTATGAATTTACTCCAACAGTTTTAACAAATGGAGATATTTGTCTGCATTAAAGGTAGGTAGATAATGAACAGATAGCTACATAGATCTAGAGGCAAAACATAATATTTGATTAACTATTATTTCATTTCTCTAGTGCATATCGGTTATGGTTTGTGTTTTAGTGGAACATTCCTGAAGAAGCTGTAAAGTGAAACATTGAGTGTCCAGTTAAAGAAAAATAAAAAATTTGGTGTTATAAGGTCATTTATTACTAGTATTAAAATTTGATTAACTAGATATAACATTGTAATATCTGTGATTCTGCCAGTATGCTACTTTTATGCCTTTAGTGTATTTTGTAATGTACAGGACTGCCCCCTTATAACACTACCGTTGTGTGCATTCAAGAATGATATAGGTGGGGGGGAGGGTTATAACGAACTAGTCAAGAAAGCACTCATACTGAATAAATACAGATTCAGCAGACTACTAGAGCAATCAATTAAATAAAATTACTGTTTATTTACATAGGGAAAATAGATATAAAAAGAACATAGATAAGATAAAATAAGATACAATAATATGAGATAGATTATGCATAAGAACTTCCCAACATTTCAGAAATAAAGCACACTCATGTTCAATTATTTACTTAAAAAGTCTGATACTTTAGTCTGCTTTATTTGGTTTCATGCCTCTTTCCAAATGTAACGTAGAGCATTTCGCATATGACATCTATTTCCTTTTGACTACTGACCGGTATATTGGTTTCACCTGTAAATAATACTTGGAATTTCTTGCCCTCTTCACAAAGTTAAACCATTTCCTTTTTTAATGATGTATTTATGACCAGATAGATGGAATCCCTGCTGGGTCCAACAATAGCCAGTAGTTTTCTATGCTACCATGAATACAAGTGGCTAGAAAACTGCCCATGTGACTTTAAACCTGTCCTTTACAAATGCTATATCGACAACACTTTCTTGCTATTCCAACAATCGAGTCGCATTTCCAAATTCTTTTCTCATCCTTAATTCTCAACATCCATTATCAACTGAACTTGATATTCACATCTCTGGGCTTTGCACTTGAGACTTTCCACTTTTTTTCTTATATTTTGTGACAGAGTGTAATGACTTTAGCCTCTGAAGCCACATGGCAACTAGCTAAGCAGCAAATTATACTAAAGTTTTTGGGAACCAAGCCACCACAGCATTATATATCCGAGAAAGTGTTATAACCAATGGCATTATAATGAGGCAGTACTGAACTTTTTACAAATTTATTATTTGTATTCACATGAATGCATATGTGTTACAGCCCTAAACTCTGTATTAAAACAGGTGTTATACATATGTATTTACTGTATCAGAACTGAACATTATTAATTCAGTGTTCAGTAGGTGTTAATTAATAATTGTTAATCAATTGGGTTTGATAGCAGAAATCTATGGTTTTCATTACTCTATGCCATTCCAATTTCTACACATATTTATTTACTTAAAGTTATTATTTTTGTTTAGTTTGCCTTTGTTTTTATATTTCCTTTCCGTCTGAGATTCCCTGTTTAAAACCAATAGATTAATAAATATGTGATACTATCTGTATGATAAGTGGAAATAAGAATAAAATATAATTAGAATTAAATATGATATTTTTTGTTGTTCTTTGTTGGAAACATAGGAATCTAGGTTTTTATAAATAAAACGCATTCTTTAAGCCACATGTTTTCCATCTGAAAAATCACTTTAAATTCGAAATTATTTTAATTCAACACAAAAATAGCTGGCCATATTTTAGACAGTTTGTGTGTACTATTTAATGATAAAAGTCTCTAAGAAATGTATGTAATTTGGAATTACAATATCTCTATAAACCCTAATTATTTTTTCAATATTTTTTTATCATCATCATAGATCGTTTTTTAGTGAATACTAAAATTACTTTCTTAAACTATGCTGTTAACTTAGAAATTACGTGACCGAATTTGAATATAGATCAAGCTGGTGATATCTTTCTCCTTTGACAACATAATTGCCATTTTAAAGTGCTACAACCTACTGGATCTATAATTACTATGGCCTAGGTTTTAACACAGCAAACAAATGAATGGATTGATCATGTTTTGAATGATAAAAATCATCAACATAAAATAGGACCAAACTTTCCTCTAACTGAAATATTTTCGTGTCAGAACTTTTCTATAACCTATTACTGTTACCAGCTATTACATGGTAGCATATACAAATAAATGGGGTAATGTAACTTTTAATGATAATGTTTTATTATTTTCAGGTATACTCACGGCGCTCCACTGTTCAACCATTCTATGGCCCCACAGGAATTATCCTTTTCCATTCAGCCTCCATCATCACAAAATCCCTTCCCATCTCATGGTAATAATGCTTCTGGAGTATAGGGCCATATAATTTTTTCACGGTTTAAAACATTTCATATCTCCAAAAAGTATTATTATTTATAGATGTAGCCTTAATAATAATAACTTGAGTTCTTTATTAGCACTAATTGTTCCTTTGTATTGTTGATTATGTAAAGAAATGAAATTACATACATATAAAAAGATTGAGTTGGCTTAGTTCTTTAAGTATATTTTCATTCAGTGTTCATATTTCAGTGTCAGCCCATTCCAAGCAAAGTTATAAGGTGTATATATGGATTTTAGAAGTATGAAACACATGAAATTCTGAATATATTACTCAAAGAACTTAAAGAGAAGTTAAATTAAAGCCAAGAGCACAAGCTTATGGAAGTGGTTAAACAATTAAGAACTTATTCAATGATCCTCATTCTCCAGCACTTGATACCTATATAATGGGCATTAACCCCCCAAAATGCTTAAAGCTGTAAGGGATCATTTCAAAGTATTTCCCAGAATGCCTCAAATTAACATTGTCTTCCTCAGCTATGCACTAATATCTTTAAGTCGAAGACATTTTCTGCTCCAATGTCTATTGATGCATTATTGCTAGAATTTATGTCTTTCCTCTTATAGAACTGGCAATTTGCTGTTAAAACTGAGAAATCTAGAATTTAAACATTTTAAGAAAAAATAAGTATTTGGAAACATTTGTGGAGAGTACCATTCAACATGATATTATTAATTTGATGTCAGAATTATCAACATTTCATGTTATCCTATATTACTGAGTTTACAACAGTTAGTGCTAGAGTAGAATAAATACCAGATACAATATAGAGGGATACTGAATAAAAACTAATTATGCATTTACGAGGTTGTAGAGATTATGCAAAAATAATGTGCAAACTGCACAAAAGTACTTTTATTTTCTGCACAAACATAATTTTGCACTCAAACTTGTCAGTCTGAGTCTGACTAACTTTGGCATTTCTCGGACATATCTTTAGTACAAAAATTTTAGTAACACATTTGATATTTTATGTACTATTGACTAAAAGCTTGCTACACTTTGTAAATTTAAAATAACAGTCAACATTCAGTTAAGCATCACTGTTAGCTTTTTTAAATTTAATAATAGATATTTCAGAATATGAATCTTTGATGCAGCTGTTGCTTTTTTTATCTTTTAGGTATAGATTTATCTAGTACACTTCAACAAAATGTCACCTCTGTACCCACTTCGTACCCTTTGACACCAAATGACAGAATGAACCGAAAACCTATAGGTCTTCCAACAGTTTGCTCTAAGGCAAGCTTTTCCCCAGATAATTGTCCACAGATATGTTGTGATGTTGAACCTGAAATTAAATCAGACAATGCAGAAATGACCTTTCCAACAGCAAACAAATCAACAGATTCTGTTTATGGAAGACAAGTTCATGAAGAACGTTCTTTGAGTAAGATGCTTTTGATTTAAAAATATATTGTAACTATAAATACAAAATGTATATGCATACATAAAGTAAGTATATATATATATATATATATATATGAGGTGTATAAAATACATAAAAGTTTTATCCCATAATGTGTTAATGTAAATTTATCTCTGAAAACATTTTTCTGTCATTAAACTTTTTATCTAAAAATCATGATTTATTGGCAGTTTAAAAAATTGTATGCTTTGCATGTTTGTTTTGAAAAAGATAAAGTTAAAGAAGCATTGCTAATATTTGCTGAGATGTTTACCTAAAATAGTGTAATTCTTTTCTGTTTTTAAACTAAGTATGTGTCTGAACTTTAATGTTATTTGTTATGGCTAATATAACAATAAATAAAGAAACATAACATTTCTTTATGATTTATCTGATGATGGTGGGCTTATTAAGATGGTGTATTTATTAATTTACCTCACTTTAATTCAGTAATATACCAAATAAAAATGCTATGCATTAGATAAGTAATGTTACTTTAACTATTAATATGGTCGATTGTGATTTAATCGTTTTTAACTTTTATAGTATGTTTTGGAAATTTTCATGTTATTTTTCTAAGCAATGTTTCAAGTGAAAAGAAATTGCAAAGTACTTTTTAATTTTACTTTCCTGATATATTGTATTCATATATCAAACTTCAGCTCCTTGACCAGCTGCATTTGAGTTACTAAATAACTTGAAAGGAAAATTATTTTGTTTATAGGGGTGGGTCTAACTAAGCCTGCAGAAACTGATTGAATAATTAAAAAATGTTTCATCATTACTTATCTCTAGCACCTGAAGCTTACAATTACTGGTCCCGAAAGGATGCATGAATCACAAGGGACCATCTCATAACATTTCGCATCAGGGCTTGAATTAAATATTTTAAGGTGGGGTAGGGGGCTCAAATTTGATATGTGTTCTTTTAAAGTCTGTATTTAGAAGAACTGTGAAGAAACACGAATCCTTCCAACGCCTCAGTTGAAAAACAATGCAACAGCTAGGGAGGCAGAGGGATTGACCCCTTCACCCAAAGTAATTCAAGCCCAGTTTCCCATATGCCTCAAATAAAGAATACTTTGCTCAGTCTTGCACTCATCCTTTTATGTTTGTTAGTTGAAGAGCCTCCTTTAGTTTAAAACTTCACAACTGAATGACTTAAAGCTATAGGAATAATGTACCAAATCATATTAGTTCCCCATCACTCTAATAAAAGCACTAAAAATGTGTTACGGTTTTAAATAACATTTCAATCACTTCCACAGCAAGAAAAAAGTCAAAATATACCTTTTGCAATCAAATAGTAACATCCATACCATATTGGTCTCTCAATTGGGGCCTGCCTAACTAATTCTTGAGTCAGGAAGATCGAATAACATACAGCATTAGCATGGGCAAGAGGATGTTGAAGTTAATTTATTTATGCTCAGGAGTTATAAATGGTGGTGTAGAAAGTGTGTTTGTAATTTTGATACTCATGGATTTATTGAGGAGCTATTTATTTCATAAATTGAAGAAATCACCCTTTATTAAGTATCTTTTACTTGTGAATTACCATAATTTCATTAAGTGTAGTGTATAGCATGGTAATAATCAAGGATTGTTGGTTAATAACATCATGCAGTTTTTAGTGCTATTTTAGTGCTTTTTATTATCCATTAAGCTTTCATACTTAGAAATATGTTAAATGCTGTTTGGTTCTTAGTTTTTAAGATTTGGCATGTCATATAATTAATTGATTTCATTATTAGTTAATAATCTCATTAATATTAGTTTGCTGAGCTATCAGTAGGTAATTAGCTTTTTCATTAAGTTTGTATCATGATATAGAAACTCAGCTTGATAGTCATTTTTTAATGCATTTTTTAATATAATTTGTAAGGTTTATATGATTAATGTAAGACTTTTTTGTTATTCAATGCTAAATGGAAAAAACTACATTTTTCTGTGTCTTATATTTTTATTTATTAATAATAAAATGCATAAAAAAGTAAAAGATATTTTATCTTAATGTGTGTACTTTTTTTTAGATTTTAATAACACTGCTGTGGCAACCAGTAGGAGTGACCACGTGACCCCCTCTAGTGGTATCACCTTCTCACAAACCAGGAAGAATGTTGAAAAATCCTCATCTATGTATACAAATAGGTTTGCCAGCCTTTCACCCAGCAACGAAGTGAATAATGAGTTGAACCAAAATCCTTTCAGTGCTAATAGAAATGGTAGTACTCAGTCAAATGTTAGGTCTCAACAAAGTACAGATCATAATTCTAACATTGGGGAAATATCAGTAAGACATAAAATCAATCCCAAAACAATACTGATAGAAAAAAGGAACTCAAAAGTTCATCCTGTTTCCTCTGGTAATCCACACAAGCGTTCAAAAAGAGAGAGAACCAGTGATGTTGTGAGGTTTACCTCTAAACCACATGGCCGTAAAAGTAAGTTCTATTACTTTATAAATATGAACATGGTCACTGAAATATTATAGACGTATTAGAAATTATCTAATCAGAGATCAAAAACTTTACTTACTTTTGTTTTATGACATTCTGTGTAAACGTCTGAACTACTTATAAAACACTTGGTCACTGTTGTATGAAACGACAGTAGGCTAGCTTTAGCTTCTCTTTGTCCAGGTAACATATTGTTACGTCTCCATTCGTTAATTGATTTTTCATAACTTTGTTCCGACGAAACTTTAGCGACACAAGTCCTTTCTTAATAAAACTGGTTTATTCTTTCCGAATACAACTTTACGATACATTTATTTTCAACAGTCGCTCTATAACAAACGCTATATCAACGAACGTTAACTTCAACAATACTTTCCGACTGCAGTTCAATTACTCACTACCTACACACACATTTTGTCACGTCACGCCGTAACCATCTTATATATACCAGACCACCCCCAATCTGGCAAATGCTAGAGCACTCCCGAAGGAACAGGATAGTTCTAGAAAATAGGTGGCGTAACACTAGTCACGTGACCTCGCTGATGCAACAATATTAATGTTTACAAAGACAGGTCATATGGAATTACTCTCTGGATTTCTTAATATTATTTTATGTTGCTTATGTATAATAGATATACTTTGTAAATGTGAATGATTTAATATTATCCAAGAAACTATTACTGCCATACTAAATCTGTTTGGTAATGTACCATATATATATAGTTGTGTGTAGTCAATTATACATGACATCATTTTAATAACACTGCTGTGACAACCAGTAGGAGTGACCATGTGACCCCCTCTACTCTCTGAAGAGACAGAACATTATGTATTAGTTTTCTTATTAGAATATATGTTGAAAGTCCATAACATTGTTACTATGTAATACCACAGTAATGAAACATTGTCAGCAGCAGGATATGTGTAATGACAGAATAAATAAGTAAATACTAACTGAAAACAGCCAATCTCTAGATTGAATAATAGATGGACTTCAAAAGGACACAGTAAATAGAGTTCAGCAATTTCTATCTGGGGTCATGAAAATATTCAGCTTTTAATGAATGAAATAGAAATTATTTTTGTAATTAAAAATTGTTGAAAAGTAAATTTGATGTAAGAATGACTGATGAACTTGTTTAGTTAGAAATTATATTTGTTTATAAAATTGCATTCTTATACCATAATCTTGCCTTACAAATCTTTTGACATTCTATGAAAAGATTACTGCTTATGTAGATGAGGGTAAGGGTGTAGGTTTGGTCTATCTGGATTTTCAGAAAGCATTTGACAAGGTGCCACATAAAAGGCTTGTAAAAAAATATCTCTATACGTGTGGGGGAGTAGCTAGATGGAAGAAAGCAGAGGGTTGTTACAAATGGAGTTCAGTCAAACTGGATTAATGTCACAAGTGGAGTACTGCAAGGCTCAGTCTTAGGACCTTTGCTCTTTTTGATTTACATTAATGACATAGATGAAGAGATAGTCAATAAATTACTTAAATTTGCAGATGATATTAAGGTCTTGGGTGTTGCTAGCTGTGAAGAGTATGCTGCTGATTTACAAAAGGATTTAGATCATTTAGTGAGTTGAACAAATAAATGGTAGATTGGTTTTAATTATAATAAATGCAAGATAATGCATGTGCGTTATCATAATTTGAATTAGAAATATAATTTGGATGGGATTAACCTTAATAGTGTCATGAAGGAAAGGGATCTTGGTGTAATAGTCGATCAGTCTCTTTAGCCATTTAAGCAGTGTTCTGTTGCTAGTGGTAGAGCAAATAGGATTTTAGGTTGTATTCTTAGAAATATTGAATACAAGTCTAAAGAGGTTTTAATTTCATTGTACAAGTCACTGGTTAGGCCACATTTGGAATATTGTGTTCAGTCTTGGGCTACTTACCTTAGGAAAGACAATGAACTGTTGGAAAGGCTACTAGAATGGTGCCTGGGATGGAGGGATTGTCATACGAGAAGAGGCTGAAAGCTCTCTAATTTTTTTCTCTTGAAAAAAGAAGAGTTAGAGAGGGATCTGATTGAGGTGTTTAAGATTGTAAAGATAATTGATAGTGTTGATGTATCATATTTTTTTCATATTTAACAGTAAGAATAGTAGGACTAGGGAACACAAATATATATTTTGGCAAGGTAGGAGTCATCTTCAGCTAATACAGTTTCATTTTTCTAAAAGGGTGGTTGGCCTTTGGAATGGGTTGCCTTCGGACGTTGTAGTGGCAGTAAATTTAAGTGAGTTTAAGAAAAAGATTGATAAGTATATGAATGACAAGGGCTGGCTTTAAGATTTGTTTATATAATTATTCTAATTTAGTTTAAAGGAAGGAATAGCCGAGATGGACCAATGGGTCCCATGTTGTCCCAAAACATTATGTTATGTTATTCACAGAACTGTCCATAGCTGACATGTCAGTGGAATAACAGGTAGCCAAAATCAGTGCACCAGAAGAAATTTACACCAATCAGATAACTAATTTCACTAGGCAGCTGTTCTCTGATGGATGTGGACTTTAACGTATCAACCCCCATATCAACGGTTTGACAAAAAAGGTGATTCAAACTATCAAGCAGATGATACCAAAGTTTGTTTTCCTGGTTGAGACAAACGTCATGATGCTATGTAGATTAGAGTTCAACTGGTTGTTCACCAAACATTTTTATGTTTGGAAGATAAATACTGCTCCCTGTAGATGGTCTGCCCCAACCACAATGTCCACCGGAATATTTGCAGTAGCTGCAAATTACATTAGCTGACATGCATGAGTTTGTCTGTCAGCAGTTGGGAAAGGCCACTGTATGACTAAAAGAGATGCTAGGATAATACAGTCCAAAAACGTTGATTTAACTTTGGAGTCTGGACCTGGCTTTGGTACATGCCAGAGGCTATCAGATGATGCTGTCCAAAAAAAATGTATGGGCTGCCATTTGTCAGTGAGTTAGGACAGTTGTCGAATATAAGCATTGTGATCCTTACTTTTTGAGCCATCATGTGGAATGTCGCACACAATAGTCACAGGATATTAGCTGTACGGTTAGGATGATTGGTGTTGGTAGGTGTAATACCTAGAACATCGTCAGTTTGCACATTGGAGGCGTTGGCTAGGAATTCGAAAACTCTGTTACGACAGCGGAAGTCACGCAACACTGGGAGCATGCGCGCTGGGGTTTCTCGAATAATCATGAATTTGCCCGTCAGCTTGAGTGTGATCTAGAGGCCCACTTTTTTAGTATATAAGCCTGGCAAAGAAAGCCAGCTGGAGACAGATAGATAATCAAGTCACGGTAAGTCGATTCTGTTTCTGTGTTTTGCAGTCGCATAGAGCGACGTTATCGAGCTTGTGAATCACTGTGATTATAGCGTGTGTTTATGAAAGTCATTAAGTTTAAAGCGACGAGGAACGTATTGACTGTGGGAATTCTGTGTATTACAAAGTTTGTCTCGCGAAAGAATAAACTAGTTTTAATCAAGAAAGGACTTGTATCCCTGAAGTTTCTCGGAAATAATTTCTACGGGAAATTAACA